TTTACTGGTGTGTTTGGGGTCATTGTCTTGTTGGAACACCCATTTCAAGGGCATTTCCTCTTCAGCATAAGGCAGCATGACCTCTTCAAGTATTCTGATGTATTCAAACTGATCCATGATCCCTGGTATGCGATATATAGGCCCTACACCGTAATTGCCAATAATTGCCACCTGTTTTTCAAAGAATGAATGACCTCACTAATAGAACTCCACACTGCTATTATTTTGAACATGCCCCTTTCAATTAGTGATTCAATTACACAGAATCAGCAGCATGCATGTCATGACTGTTGGGTCTGTTGGATTTATATTACTCTACTACACCTGCTAGTAAATTATTTGCCATGTAGAAATATAATTTCTACCAAAAACAGTGATTGATCAGGTTAGTGATGTCTGACTGCTATTATTTTGAACACAACTGTACATCCAAATCTCAAACATTTTTTATTTTGTTCAAGAAACAAAACGTAACAAAATGAGACACACATGTTGTTGATTAAAAAAAACTGGAAAGTGCAAAATCTGGTGCAGCTCTGCATAGAAACCACTCAGTTTCCAGTTTTTATTGTCAAAGCTTAATTGGAAAAGCTGAAGTTAGAGGCAGATTGGCTATCATGCTCAGTTGCACCAGATTTTGCACTCTTCAGTTTTAATAAATCAACCCCATAGCCTCTATCATTTTCATCTACATCTTCCATCTGAAGTACCTGGCTCTTCATGACAGTCACCTTTTTTGGCTGAGCGTACCCTTGGGCAAAGGTAGTGCACGGGTGTAGTAGGCTCTGCTCACACTGCCCGGTAGATGCCGTCCCTATACATTTGGACTTGCCACCTTGATGTTTCTCCTTGAAGGGCTAGCAGCAGCCGGAAATGACACTGGAGCACCAGCTTGGACATGATATCATAATCACGTGACCAAAAGTGATGTAATCGCAGCCAGAGAAGTGCGGGTGGAACGCATAAACACCTACAGTACTTTCTTCTGGTTCTTCCTTCTCTAGTGAGTGGCGTGTGTTCCAAGGGATCACAGCATCATGTGGACCCGTATACACATATATTTTTTAACTGGACCCACTACATGTTCTTTCCCTCCTAAGTTGTACATATTACAACCAGCACTCAAGTGTTACCACAGCCCATGGACCTATTTACAGGAATATCATCCTGAAGTCAGAGCATATGACATTATAAATGTGATTTTATGAGGAGGTGCCCAAAACCTTGGACAGAGGGGTGGTGGTGGACGCGGTATACTTGGATTTTGTAAAAGCGTTTGACACAGTTCCCCACACATGGCTAATGTGTAAGGTAAAGTCTACGGGCTTGGAAAAATTTGTATGTAAATGGATAGAAAACTGGCTAAAAGATCACATTCAAATAGTAGTGGTTAATGATTCATACTCTGCATGGTCTAGGGCAGGGGTCTGCAACCTTTAAGACATAAAGAGCCACTTGGACCCGTTTCCGAGAGGGAAAAAAAGACTAGGAGCCGCAAAACCATTGCAACATTTAAAACAAATCCGACACTGCATATATTGCAAAAAGTGCTCTGGTCATGAAGGGGGTTTAAGGGCCCAGTAAGCAAAGGGTTAATCAGGGCCACAGTGTATCGTCATAATCACAATCATAGCCTTAGGTCAGTGGTGGGCAACCTTTTTTTTCAACTGAGCCAAATCTCGCCAAAACCACGATTGAAATTTATTTTGAGAGCCACATTTTTAAAACTGAAAATACATCCCCCATATGGTAATTCATCCCCCATAGTAATTCATCCCCCATATAGTAATTCATCCCCCATATAGTAATTCATCCCCCATAGTAATTCATCCCCATAGTAATTCATTCCCCCATATAGTAATTCATCCCCCATATAGTAATTCATCCCCCATAGTAATTCATCCCCCCCCCATTAGTATATAGTAATTCATCCCCCATAGTAATTCATCCCCCATATAGTAATTCATCCCCCATAGTAATTCATCCCCCATATAGTAATTCATCCCCCCTATAGTAATTCATCCCCCATATTAAGTCCCCAAGTCCCCCCTGTGTCAATTCACTTACCTTTGCTCCGCGCGTTCCTCTCGCCGTGTTCCCTTTGGCGCCGTTCCGGTGTAGCATGAAAATCTGTCTCCTATGAGGATCTGTCCCCCTCGACGTATCTGCGCATGTGCCAGTTTCAGGCATTAGCAGCCGATCGGCAATCTCCGGCACATGCGCAGATACGTCGAGGGGGACAGATCCTCATAGGAGACAGATTTTCATGCTACACCGGTCTTCAGGACTGTGAGAGGAGCCTAGCGGGAGCCTAGCTCCGCGGGCTGGATTAAAAGGTCCACCGGGCCGTAGTTTGCCCATTGCTGCCCTATTGCCTGTCACCTGGTGGGTAGTGTGCTCCGGAGCCGCAGCCAAGGTGAAAAAGAACCCGCATGTGGCTCTGGAGCCGCGGGTTGCCGACACCCGGTCTAGGGTCATCAGTGGTGTACCCCAAGGTTCAGTGTTGGGACCCTTACTTTTAATATATTTATAAATGATATAGGGTCTGGGATTAAAAATCCCATTTCAGTCTTTGCAGATGACACCAAGCTGTGCAGTGGAATAACGTTCTTACAGTATGTCTTTAACTTACAAGCCGACCTCAATGCACTGTTTAATTGGGAAAATGAGGTTTAATGTTGATAAATGTAAGGTTATGCACTTGGGGGCTAAGAATATGCATGCATCATACATACTAGGGGGGGGGTACAACTGGGGGAATCAATGGTGGAGAAGGATCTGGGAGTTCTGGTAGATTACAAGCTTAGTAATGGCATGCAATGCCAAGCTGCGGATTCTAAAGCAAACAAAATCCTCCCTTGTATTAGGAGAGGTATAGACTCCAGAGAGTGAGATATAATTTTACCCCTGTACAAATATGCAGTTCAATTTTGGGCACCAGTTCACAAAAAGAACATTGGGGAACTAGAGAAAGTACAGAAAAGGGCAACCAAACTGATACGAGGCATGGAGGAGCTCAGCTATAAGGAAAGATTAGAGGAACTGAATTTTTTGTCTCTTGAGAAGAGGAGATTAGGGGGGATATCATCTCCATGTATAAATACATCAGTGGTTCATATAGTGAACTTGGTGTAGAGTTATTCACCCTGAGGCCATCACAGAGGACAAGGGGGCACTCTTTATGTCGAGAGGAAAATAAATTTAATCTCCAAACACGGAGAGGTTTCTTCACAGTGAAAGCTGTGAAAATGTGGAATAGACTCCCTCAAGAGTTGGTTCTGGCCTGGATTCTTTCCTAGATACACAGAATATAACTGGATACTAACTTTTATAAGTAAAGTTGATCCAGGGAATATCCGATTGCCTCTCGGGGGATCAGGAAGGAATTTTTTCCCCTGCAGGAGAAAATTGGATCATGCTTTGCTGGGTTTTTTGCCTTCCTCTGGATCAACTGTGGGTGTAGGATTATAACATTTTTTTTAATGGTTTAATGGTTGAACTGCATGGACTTTTGTCTTTTTTCAGCCAGACTAATTATGTAACTATGTGATTTAAATCAGTGTGGTCAAACCGTCCATTCTAGGGGTTTGTGTTGTCCATGCTCACATACTAGGCATACATTGGATTTATTACTTTGTAGATGCTGTAACTCCACCCTTATTCTCTCCCTTTTGTTGCTGTGAGAGGTGATTATTCAATAGATATAAAGGTTTGTGTGTTGTAATTCTTATCTAATTTGGCTCTGAAGAAGAGGATTCGTTCCTCCAAATGTGTCAGCCTAGGGTGATATGCAGACTTCCCATATCATTGGTTTTGTTTTATGGCCGTAGAGGAGGTTCCTTCTGCATTTATTACATACCTATCCATTATATATGTTTGTGAGTAGATAATCTATTTTTTACCAATTGCAATAAATGGTGTTTTTGGTAATGCACTAGGTTGTGCACCCTCTCTCTTTTATTATATTTCCAGTCCACCCACAGTCCTCAGAGGGCAGCTAGACCTCTGGCTCCACCCCAACTGGTCAGACAGGTGGACTACATCCTTGAGCACTGCACCCAAGAGTAGGAGTTTTGGATTTTTATTGGCGTAGCCTAAGAACCTGGAGGCTTACAGTCACGAGGAACATTCACCACCACACCACCCACAAGCTGCAATAATCCTGAAGAGACAGCTGACTCCTAATGGCATGAGGGAAGAAGATGGTGGCACAGGACCTGTCCTGCAGTACTGGCACAGCAGATCAGAGTAGGACAATGCTAGGTTCCCTGGATATGTGTGTATGTGGATTGGGGATAACCCAATGAACTGGGGATGAAAACATTTTCTTTTTTTTTGTAATTAACAGTTTTTATTGGTTTTCACATATATGTATACAAACATCACATTTGAAAGAGAAACAAAAGAAGAAAAAAACACATCGATGGTAGAAATCTGCGTGGGTACAAAGCATATAATGTCACAGAATAACATTAGGGAGGCCATTAGAACCTTACATTTGGAGTAAGTTGAGAAGAGATAAAAATATCCCATGGGTGCCACACTGCCTCAAACACAGCAATCGAACAGGCATGTAGAGCGGTCAAGTATTCCATCTGTCTTACATCAGCAATAATTTTAAACAGAGTAGGCATCGAAGGAGGTATAGAGGATAGCCAACACATAGGAATGCTTCTTATAGCCGCAGTCAGAACATGTGCGGAGAGTTTCCTGGCCATTTTGGGAAGACCCAGGAATGGCAGGCTCAAAAAAAAGTATAGAGGCCTGAAAGGGAGAAAAGTATGCAATAGCATTTGTAAAAAGGACAAAACCTCTTCCCAAAAAGGAGCAATGGATCCACATGTAAAAACATTTTCAAGGTGGAGGAAGTTCCTGTTTAAAGCGGAGTTCCACTCGACCTATCAAAAAATAAAAGTCAGCAGCTACAAAAACTGTAGCTGCTGACTTTTAAAAAACAGCCACTTACCTGTCCCTCGGTCGGTGGTGTGTCCCCTGCAGCCCGTTTCACAGGCCGTGCTGGATTCCAGGAGGCCAGCATCTTCATAGCTTGCGGCTTCACAGCTGGCTACCCACTGTGCATGCGTGAGCAGTGCTGCGCTTCGTGAATGGTCCTGTAGTCTTCTGGGACCTGTCACGTGTCCCAAAAGACTACAGGGAGTGAGGGAGGACACCTTCCATTTCCGATCGCCTAGGCGATCGGACCGGAAGTGGGAGCGTGTTACCTGTCAAATTCGGGTACCTGCTCCCCCCCCAATCCCCAAAGGTGCCAATCCTTAATGGGGAGCGGGGAGCAGTCCTTAAAGCGGAACTTACCCTTTTGGGTGGAGCTCCGCTTTAAGAGGGACTAATTGGCCAATGTTTGCCAAGATACATATGGCATTCTTTTTGTGTGATAACTGTTGTTTCTTTAATTTATAATGGCTCATTAAACACCTATACACAGACCAGCAGGTACACTTATGGTAGCTGGAAGATGTCTTAAAAAGCCATTACAGTCACCTAATGTGGCCATGGCTCTCTTAAGTATGGATGTGAACACTCTTCCTGCAGAGTTTAGACCCGAGAGCATACATATTCTATATACAGCTAGACTGACTATTCTTATCAAATGGAAGGGTAATCTAGCTCCCAATCTTTCTGAAGTAATACAACAGCTTGATCTGGTCTTACATTTTGAAAAACAATTAGCTTTCCAACTGGTGGGACAAAAACATTTCCATGCAGGATTGGACGTATAGGCATTTCTATTGCCGAAAAACGGTATATACCTTACAGAATATTTTTCTACCTTAACGATTTTAAAATTGTTTTTCTCAAGTCCTCAACAGAACTGTTTGTTACTTTGTACGTTTTCTGTACATTTATTTCTTTTGGTTGAGTTCTCCAGTTGCTAGTAGAAGACTCTAAGTTGCTAAACAGGGTGTACTTATGGTGACATATTGATAAGTAATCTTTGGATTTATTAAATTTTTTTGCATGTATGTCAACTTCCTACATTAACTTTGTACTCTAACCTGATTTTGTAACTGTTGATTATTTTCTTGGATGTCATTTTGTTCTTATCATATTGTGCATCTTAATTTGTATTATGCAGTAAGAATTCAATAAAAGCTGTATTATTTTGAAAAAGCAGTTACAGTCTACAGATCAACCAATCAGTAAGCCATCCAGGAAAGGTTCAGTTGGCTAAAATAAGATTGTTTAAACAGGATAAATACGTGTGAAGATGTGAAACTTAATTTAGTTGGGCTTTAAAGTCCTGTGCACCAGCATATTTTTTTTTTTTTTTAAGAAATGCTATAAAGTAACTTTTTTTCTTGGTGAAAATGTTGTGCCTTGCCTTCAAACTCCATTGCTCTATACCAGGGGCTCTCCAAACTTTCTAAACAAATGGCTAGTTTACTGTCCTTCAGATTTTAGGTGGGGGTGTGGGTGATAGACTGTGGCCATTGGTAGTAGAAATTATCCTGGCGTCAGTGGGAGGGAACAACACATCTTTGGTATCAGGGGGAGGAATAATGCCCTGGTGTTGATGTTAGTGGGCAGGAATAGCACCCCATCATTAGTGGTAATGGGAGAAATAGTGCCTTATTGTTGGTATTAGTGGGAGGAATAGTGCCCCATCATTGATGTCAGTGGGAGGAATTGTTCTCCATCATTGGTATCAGTGGGAGGAATAGTACCCCATTGTTGGTGTCAGTGAATGGAATAGTGCCTTATCTTTAGTGTCAATGAGAGAAATAGTGCCCCATTGTTGATGTCAGTAGTAGGAGTTATGCCCTATTGTTGGTGTCAGTGGGAGGAATAGTGTCTTGTATCAGTGGGAGGAAAATTGCCCCAAAGCAAAGCAAAGGGCCACAGTTTGGAGATCACCACTCTGAAAAAAGAACCTGCCTAAGCACACGCTTGCTCACATGGACTTGTACTGGAAAGAAGGGGAGGGGGGTGTCTGACCAGAGCTGTTACATTACCGAGAGCATCAGGACTTTTCTAGCAACTATAAAGCCAAACAGCCCGAATTACACAAATATTAAATTACCTAAAAGGAAACACATGCAGTCATCATTGCTTTGCACAAAAATGATTCACAGGCAAGGATATTGCTGCTACTAAGATTGCACCTAAATTAACCATTTATGGGATCATCAAGAACTTCAAGGATAGAGGTTCAATTGTTGTGAAAAAGATGTCAGGGCACCCAAGAAAGCCCAGCAGCCCAGGACCGTCTCCTAGTTGATTCAGCTGTGGGATCAGGCACCACCAGTGGAGAGCTTGCTCAGGAATGGCAGCAGGCAGGTGTGAGTGCATCTGCATGCACAGTGAGGTGAAGACTTTTGTAGGATGGCAAACTCATACAAATGAGCGCAGAGAGGCCACTCCAGGTGGAAACATGTGAACAGTTAATCATGAGCTCACCACTGCTGCCTTGTTAATCATTTGCATGATGAAAAGAACTGAAAAGAATGGAATAGGTGCTGCGGAAAATGCTCTCAGTCAAGCACCTTAATGAAGGTGCATCTTTATTGGGTGAGACAAAGTAGCAAATATAATAAAATTTGACCAGCCTGAAGTGAACAGTGTGACTCCAACGGATGGCCCATCCACTCTGAAGGGAGCTGAAATCGGAGAACCCTCCTGTCGGCTTCAAATCACGTGGTGACAGCATACCGGCGTCCCGGGGCGTCATCACGGCAAGCGAAGGCAGTGTCCGGCGTCGGCTTCAGCTGGAAGCGTATGTAGGGTTACCAAGATGACATGTTTCGCGCAGTTGCGCTTTGTCAAGTCTGACAAAGCGCAACTGCGCAAAACATGTCATTTTGGTAACCCCACATACACTCCCAGCTGAAGCCGATGCGGGACACTGCCTTTGCTTGCCGTGATGATGCCACCCAGGACACTGGTACACTGACACCACGTGATTTGAAGCCGACAGGAGCGTTCTCCAATCTCAGCTCCCTTTAGAGCGCACGGGCCATCCATTGGAGTCACAATGTTCACTTCTGGCTGGTCAAATTTTATTATATTTGCTACTTTGTCTCACCCAATAAAGATGCACCTTCATTAAGGTGCTTGACTGAGAGCATTTTCCACAGCGCCTATTCTTTTCAGTTCACTTTTGTAGGATGGCCTAGTGTCAGGAAGGGCAGCAAAGAAGCCAATTCTCTCCAGGAAAAACATCAGGGACAGACTGATATTCTGCAAAACGTACAGGGATTGGACTGCTGTGGACTAGGGTAAAATCATTATCTCTGATAAATTCCCTTGTTTGAGGCATCCAGAAAAAACCGTGTCCAGAGAAGAAAATGCGAGGGCTACCATCAGTCCTGTGTCATGCCAACAGTAAAGTATCCTGAGACCATTCATGTGTGGGGTTGCTTCTCAGCCAAGGGAGTGGGCTCACTCACAATTTTATCTAAGAACACAGCCATGAATAAAGTATGGTACAAAAACATCCTCAGAAAGCAACTTCTCCCCCAACCATCCAAGAACAGTTTGGCGATGAACAATGTCTCTTCCAGCATGATGGAGCACCTTGCCATAAGGAAAAAGAGATAACTAAGTGGCTTGGGGAACAAAACATCAAAATTTTAGGTCCATGGCCAGGAAACTCCCCAGACCTTAATTCGACTGAGAACTTGTGGTCAATCCTCAAGAGGCGGGTGAACAAAAAAAACCTCCCACAAATTCAGACAAACTTTAAGCATTGATTATGCAAGAATGGGCTGCCATCAGTCAGGATGTAGCCCAGAAGTTGATTGACAACATGCCAAGGTGAATTGCAGAGGTCTCGAAAAAGAAGGGTCATCACTGCAAATATTGACTCTATGCATAAACTTAATGTAATTGTCATTAAAAGCCTTTGACATTTTTTTTTACAATTTCTTGTAAGTATATTTCAGTATACCTCAGTAACATCTGACAAAAGATCTAAAAAAAACTGAAGCAACAGACTTTGTGAAAATTAATATTTGTGTCATTCTCAAAACTTTTGGCCAGGGCTGTGGACTTCCTGTACAACTGCTGTAATTGGAAAGTGGAGGAAAGCCTGATGGAGTGGATGGAGTTCATTATTAAATAATAAACTGATTGCATATCTATTTCTTGGATTCAGTTGGGTTTCTGCAGCCAGATTTCCCACAGGCCCCCAAAGGGTCCCTGTTAGTGTACCTCCAGGAGGAAGCCTGTGTTGTGTAATTGCACCACCAATCGCACTGGAACTTTCACAGTAGACTTGTATTTGATTTGTGATTTGTGAAAACTCTTTAGTACTTGCATTATTTTATGTCAGGCCTTCTATTTTGGAAAGACAGCGAGGAAGCAGATGTGCTATGTAATATCCATATCCCCATATCACAAGCAGATTGCTGACAAAAGACTCTAGGGTAGGTTGGTGTAAAACATCAGTGCATTTATGAAAGAGTGAAGTACTGAGTGGGTAGGCTATGTATAGTATCTCAAGATTAAACTTTCCGGTTGTTTGACATGAATGTATTTTAAAGCTAAGCTCCAGGTATGACCTGAGAGACAAATCAGGTGCAATGCTTTGGCCAATCACAGCGCATTATGACTTCACAAGGAAACAGGGTTGACCTCACCGGGGTGGCCCCGCCCCTTAGATAGTTAGGAACTGTCAGGCCGGCACAGCTGTCAGACAGCAGGAGCCAACGATGAGTGTGCAGCATTTTTTTTCTTTTTCTCTGGGCGGCGGGCATCGTGAATGATGTTGGATCTACTTTTTTGTGAATGAGTAGTGGTACCATGTACCCCATACTCATTCACATGTTGGGCGGGATCTGGGGGCCTCCTTGTTAAAGGCGGCTTCCAGATTCCGATAAGCCCCCTGTCCGCAGACTCCCACAACCACTGACCACGCTTGTGGGGAAGAGGTCCTTGTCCCCATCAATGATCTCCCCTGCCCCAAAGCACCCCACATGTTTTATTTTGGCATGGGGGTTCCCCTCAAAATCCATACCAGACCTGAAGGGCTTGGTATGGATGGAGGGGACTCCAAGCTGTTTTTTTGCTAATTTTTAATTGCCTGCAATTCTTTTTACATTCAGCTGTCAACTGGGAACCTCGCTGACAACTGAAACATTAAGAATGTTTTTACTACTAACACATTGCATGACTTAAAGCAATTCTAAAGGTTATTTTTTTTTCCTTTTTAAAAACAAACGTGTATACTTACATGCTGTGTGCAGTGGTTTTTGCAGAGAGCAAC